ATGGCAACCCACTCCAGTATTTTTGCCATGAAAACCCCATGGACAGTTCTAAAGGGCAAAGAGATAGGTCGTCAGAAGATGAGCCCCTCAGGTCGGAAGGTCCCCAGTATGCTACTGGGGAAGAGCAGAGGGCTAGTACTAGCAACACCAGAAAGAATGAAGCAGCTGGGTCACAGCCGAAAGGACACTCAGTTTCCTGGTGGTGAAAGGAAAGTCTGATGCTGTAAAGATCTATACTCCATAGGAACCTGGAACATAAGATCCATGAATCAAGGCAAGCTGGATATGATCAAACAAGAGATGACAAGATTGAATATCGACATCTTAGGAATCAGTGAACTAAAATGGACAGGAATGGGTGAATTTAATTCAGATGACCATCAGGTATACTACTGCGGGCAAGAATCCCTCCGAAGAAATGGAGTAGCCTTTATAGTCAATAAAAGAGTAGGAAAAGCAGTACTGGCATACAATCTCCAAAATGACAGAATGATCTCAGTTCGAATCCAAGGAAAACCATTCAACATCACAATAGTCCAAGTCTATGCCCCAACCACTGGTGCTGAAGAGGCTGAAGTTGACCAGTTCTATGAAGGCCTACAACACCTTCTAGAATTAACACCAAAACATGATGTCCTTATAATCATGGGGGATTGGAATGCTAAAGTAGGAACTGGAGATACGAAGGAAACATTTTATGCAAAAATGGGCATGATAAAGGACCAAAATGGCAGGGACTTAACAGAGGCAGAAGAGATTAAGAACTGATGGCAAGATTATACAGAAGAATTATACAAGAAAGAGCTTGACGTTCCTGATAAGCATGATGGGGTGGTCAGTGACCTCGAGCCAGACATCATGGAATGTGAAGTGAAACAGGCCTTAGGAAGTCTGAGCAGCAAAATAGCTAGAGGAGGTGACAGTATTCCAGCTGAGCTATTCAAAATCCTAAAAGACAATGCAGTAAAAGTGCTACACTCAATATGGCAGCAAATTTGGAAAACTCAACAGTGAGCACAGGGTTGGAAAAGGTCAGTTTACATTCCGATCCCAAAGAAGAGAAATGCCAAAGAATGTTCAAACTACCGCACCATTGCACGCATTTCACATGCTAGCAAAGTGATGCTCAAAATCCTACAAGCTCGGCTCCAGCAGTATGTGGACCAAGAACTAACAGAAGTACAGGCAGGATTTCGAAGAGGCAGAGGAAGAAGAGATCAAATTGCCAACATACTCTGGATCATGGAGAAAGCTAGGGAGTTCTAGAAAAACATGTACTTCTGTTTCATTGACTATGCTAAAGCCTTCGATTGTGTGGATCACAACAAATTGTGGCAAGTTCTTAAAGAGATGGGAGTACCAGACCTTCTTATTTGTCTCTTGAGAAACCTGTATGTGGGTCAAGAAGCAACAGTGAGAACTGGACACAGAACCACTGATTGGTTCAAAATTGAGAAAGGAGTTTGGCAAGGCTGTATACTGTCGCCCTGCCTATTTAACTTATATGCAGAGCACATCATGAGAAAGGCGGTGCTAGATGAGTGCATATAGTCAAGGCTATGGTTTTCCCAGTTGCAATGTATGGCTGTGAAAGCTGGACCATAAGGAAAGCTGAGCGCCAAAGGATTGGAGCCTTTGAATTGTGGTGCTGGAGGAGACTCCTGCGAGTCCCTTGGACCGCAAGGCGATCAAACCGGTCAGTCCTAGAGGAGATCAACCCTGACTGCCCTTTAGAAGGTCAGATACTGAAGATGAAACTCAAATACTTTGGCCACCTAATGAGAAGGAAGGACTCCCTGGGGAAGAGCCAAATGCTGGGAACAATAGATGGCAAAAGAAGAAGGGGATGTCGGAGGATGAGGTGGCTGGATGGAGTCACTAAAGCAGTTGGTGTGAGCTTAAGTGGATTCCAGGGGATGGTGGAGGACAGGAAGGCCTGGAGGAATGTTGTCCATGGGGTCGCGATGGGCCAGACACGACTTCGCAACTAACAACAACAATTATGAACAATCGTGCCTTGTTCCTTCACAGATCAACGATTTCATCGGAGTCCGTCTTGATCCTACGATTGCGAGAGCCTTCCTTCCTCAAGGATGACAAGAGAAGCTTCGTGCATCCATTCGGCAAATCCACATGGACAGAACTGTTCCAGCACTGTCGGTACAGAAGCTCCTCGGACACATGGTTTCCATGGTCTCTGTGGTACCATGTGCCAGATTACAGATGAGGCCCCTCCCACTCTGGTTCAACAGCCTCTTCCAACCTCAACGAGATTCACCTCACCAACTTCTTCATCTCCCGGCCTCTGTTCTCCAGACCCTGTCATGGTGGACTATACAAAGCTATCTGTCTGTTGGCATCTCATTCTGCCCAGTTCATCCAGCACGGACTTTGTTCACCGATGCCTCCCTCACCGGTTGAGGAGCTCTATGTGCTGGCCTTTGCACTCAAGGCACTTGGGACTATCATGAGGCTGCCAAACACATCAATTATCTAGAGCTGCTGGCAGTCTTCAAAGCCCTTCACTCATTCAAGAATACTCTTTGGGGCCAAGTTATTCAAGTAGCCTCCAACAACATTGTGACTGTGTTTTATATCAACAAACAGGGCGAAACAAAGTCTGTTTCCCTGGCTCATCTACCGTTGAGACTTTGGGACTGGTGCATTCTGAGGGAAATCACCCTCCTCACCGTTCACCTCGCTGGCACTGACAACATGGAGGTGGATGTCCTCAGCAGGCTGATGTCAACGACCCACGAATGGGAGTTGGATCGTCAGGCCTGGGGCCCTCCTTTTTCAGACCTGGGGCCCTCCGGACATAGACCTCTTCACCACTCACACAAATACGGTCTGTGATGCCTATTTCTCCCGAGTGGGCATCAGTCCGGGTTTGAGAGGGGACGCTCTAATGATCCCATGGACAAACACATTCTTTTATGCGTCTGCTCTGATACCACTCATCACGAATTCTCTCCAACATCACCTTCAGCGAGGCTCAGGGAATTCTTGTCACTCCCTGGTGGCCTTGCCAGCCATGGTTTCCTACCGTTCTCCATCTGTCCGGCAACACCTTTCAGCGACTGCCTCTCATACCGCATCTCATAACTCAACAGAACAGGGCGGTACGCCACCCAGACCTTCATTCGCTCAATCTAACAGCCTGGCTTATTCGGTAAGTCACACTACTCCCTCAGCACTGACGGCTCCCTCGATCTCGACACTGACCCGGTGGTGTCCGGAAACAACTGTTCACCCTTCCTCGATACCGATGAATGCTCCATCGGATTCGAGTGCTCTGCATCCTGATATTCAATTCATTCTCCAGTCTGCTCTAAGACCTACAGCTCGTCGCTTGTATGCAGCTAAATGGAAACGCTTCACATCTTTTGCTGGAACCAACCACTTTATTGCTCATTCAGCCTCTATTGAAAATATTCTTCAATTTCTTTTATCATTACACCAGACTGGACCGAAATCTTCATCCACCAAAGTTTATATTGCTGCAATCTCTCATTACGGTGGCAGGCTCATTGGTATTCTCTAACGTCCTTATTTGGCAATTCCCTAGAGGATTACAGAATCTCCAGCCACTGATTAGGTCAATTGTTCTGATGTGGAGCCTCTCTGTTGTTCTTCAAGCGCTCACCAAACCTCCTTTCGAGCCCTTGGTGACTACCAGTTTACATCTCTTGTCATGGAAGACTGCCTTTCTCATTGCTATCACATCAGCTAGGAGGGCCAGTGAACTCTGTGTGCTCCGTATAGACCCTCCTTATTTTAATTTCCACAAGGAGAATGTTGTTCTGTGTACTGATCTGGCATTCCTTCCAAAAGTCATGTCACCCTTCCATGTCAATCAGGACATTATCTACCAGCCTTTTTTCCTATTCCGTCTATGCCCGTAGAGCACTTGCTACATTCCCTTGGCGTTTGGTGCTGCCTTGCTTTCTACAGATTTCACACAGAATCTTTTCACTATACCAGACGCCTTTTCATCAAGGATTCCGAACATGACAAAGGGTCCCCCATCGGGTCCCAAAGACTCTCGAAGTGGATTGTCCAGACCACTGAGCTGGCCTATCAGCTCTCTAAACTAGACTTTCCCGTCATGCCCAGAGGCCATTCCACGAAGGCCGTCGCGGCTTCCTCCGCTGGAATTCTGCTCCATGACATTTGCAAGGCGGCCACTTGGACTACCCCTTGCACGTTGGCCAGACCTTACCACCTCAATGTGCGTGCCAGACAGGAGTGCTCCTTTGGTCTCACAGTCCTTTCTTCTGTTCTTCAGTGATGACACCACCCTTCCTGCGGGTCTGGCAAGCTTGCTAATCACCCATTTGTGTGATGCACAGAGGCCACGGTGAAGAAAGGCAGGTTGCTCACCTGTAACTGTTGTTCTTCGAGTGGCCATCTGTGCATTCACACAACCCACCTGCCGGCCCCACTCGGTGTTGGTGACTGGGTTTTTATGGTACCGTGTTCCACTTGGTTACGGATCCGTAGGGTGTATCTTCATGTACATAGATACTTACCTGGTGTGTCTTACATACACTTTTAACACTTGATGTGTAGTGCTCTTTGTTTCCGCTTGGGAGTGAACGGTCGGTCTTCAGTAGACAGAGGAAATGGCAGGCACTCTGCCTTCTTACACTGTGTGTAGGGGAGGGGTGCGGAGTTCCCACCAAAACTGTTCAGCTTTCAAATCTTCCTGGCTACAGGCACTGCACAGGCACAGCATCCATATGTGTGAATGCACAGATGGCCACTCGAAGAATGACAGTTACAGGTAAGCAACCTGCCTTTTTCTGAAGGCCTGTTTGGGAGGTGTTTTGATGGTCTCCAGTAGACAAGACTTAAGGAAAAGGGGTCTGTAATAAAGGGGTATTGCACGGTCTGTGCAGGATGGCTTTCAGGGTGGAGGGCAGGCTTTCGGGCACTCCTCACAGCTTGTTTCCTTTACAGACGTCCTTCCACCTGTTTACACCTATGATGCGGATAGAGCTGACGAGCAGCAGCGGCACCATGACCTGATGCCCTACATCGATGATTCACCCTCCTCTTCCCCACACCTCGGCTCCAAGTGCCGAGGCAGCCGAGATGCCCTTTCCTTGGGATCACTGGAGTCTGCCAAGTCAGTAAGTGCAGTGGGGAAGCACAGGGCTGGAGTCGAGGGGCTTGCTGCCCAGTGGGGACTTGCTCACCGGAAGATGCTGCAGGGCAGCCTGTCCGTCCCAGGCTCTGCAGAAGGTGCTGGACAGGCGAACGCCGGCTGCCGTGGGTCAGCTGGGACACTGGCGCTCTGTCTGGAGGCACCCATCAGCCCCGGGCTCCAGCACAGGCCCCCTCATGGGCAGAGCTGCCGGCCTTGCTGGAAGGAGGGAGGGAGGCCAGTCTGGCCCGGCCTGGCCTTTCTCTGCATCCCAAGGATGGAGCGGTGCCCCGAGATCCACACGTGGGCCTCCACTGCTATGGGAGACGCAGCCTGACGTGGCATTCCTCGTTCCTGTGCTTCACTCCAGAATAAACCAATCCAGGCAGACCGTTTTGCCCCGAGCGTTTCTACTGGCGATTGTCACAGATGGTCGGGAGTGGTGTGTGTCAGAGCAGAGAGAGCTGGCTAGAGGGCTGTTTACTTCAGCCATGGGGTGGGGGCTGCAACAGCAGCTTATTACATGGGCTGAAGCCGAGTGGTGGATGCACTAAAGAGACCACCCACCACTCCAAGACAGCCAAGAATTCACCAGCACTCATTTTGGCTGACATGAGGAGACTCAGTTGTTGCTTGAAAAGTTGCAGAAGTTGCTTGCCGTGTGCCACGGCCCCATGGTATGAAAAGCCACAGCAGTTGACAGTGATCCTGTGAACCTGGCCAGAAATGCTGAGGTAGCCAGAGAGATGGGGCAGCGGGAGAGACCCCCTGTGCTCAGGGCAGGCTTAGTGAGCCGAGTGGTGGATGCACTAAAGAGACCACCCACCACTCCAAGACAGCCAAGAATTCACCAGCACTCATTTTGGCTGACATGAGGAGACTCAGTTGTTGCTTGAAAAGTTGCAGAAGTTGCTTGCCGTGTGCCACGGCCCCATGGTATGAAAAGCCACAGCAGTTGACAGTGATCCTGTGAACCTGGCCAGAAATGCTGAGGTAGCCAGAGAGATGGGGCAGCGGGAGAGACCCCCTGTGCTCAGGGCAGGCTTAGTGATACAGGCGGTGGCAGTGGCCATCAGGATCATTGGGATTTGCTGGCTGTTCGGATTAAAGCTCCATATCCTAAAGAGCTGGAGCCGCTCCCTCTTCCGACAGCTTGCGCTTCTGGGGTTTGTGGTGCTCAGGGCCTTTCGCTGTGTTCTCCGTCAGGGCAAGTGCTTGCACTCGGGTCCCTCCAGGGTGGGGACCCAGTTCTGCTTGTCTCCGCTGGCCCAGAGGCACCGGCCACCTCCTCCCAGGTGGCGCACTCTTTCTCTAAACCCCGCCCTCTCTCACATGTGCGTGCGCATGTGTACCTTGGCTCGGTACAGATGGGGGCTCCGCGGCAAGCCTCGCATGGGGCGCCTCGTGCCTGTGGGTCTGGGGGGGGGCTGCGCCCGACGGGGCCCAGTCCTTGGCTGTGGACTGATCCTGCTGGGCTCAGCGTGTGAGTGGCGGGGGCGGGGTGCTGCCTGGAGTGTGCTCGTTTCACCTGTGAGCCGGCCCTTTGCCCCCATTAGCAGGTGGAGGAGCGGCGGGAGGAGACTGCCACCCCGCCCTTTCGGGTTGAGCGCTCCTCGCCATTCAGCGGTGAAGGAGAGCCGGGCTGAACTGCTCTTTCAGCTTCGGTGCCCTCTGCACATGCCTCAGTTCCCAAAGCCATCCCTGCAGTGCACCGCTTCCGTGGCTCGTCCGGCTGTGTGCTCCCTCTGCTGCAGCGGCTCGCACGTGGTGAGGCTCCCGATTGCCCTGCAGCCCGATTCTCCGTGATGGGGCAGCAGCAGGGAATTTGCAAGCAGCATTTCCATGCGCTGAAGCGCCCCCAGCACCCCGGGAGGTTTCCTGGGAGCCTCCGGGGGCGCTGCGGCAAGAGAGGCTCCTCGGCTTCCTCAGTAGTTGGCAGGAGGTGAGTCACCCCAGGATTGGTAGAGCCCCTGAATGATTCCTGTCCCCCATGCTTTCTTGAGGGGCCAGCATGGAGACAGGGCAAAAGCCATGAGTCAGTTAGCTTTTTATCACATAGGTAGATTCCCCAATAACCAAAGTTATTCTTCGTGGTCTCTGTGCAGCACACATAGGGCTTTTCGCACATGCATGGAGTGGTTTTTTCGGAAGCTTCCAAAGCTAATTAATTCATATTTGGTGGGAGACCTCAGTTCTTCTTCAGCTGCCATCAGAAGTGCATCAGGAAGTTTGTCTTCAACTTACCTCACAAGTTGCATGAGATAACCCCTGCTGGGTCAGGTGTCTCTCATCTTCTCCCCTATTGCTTAAAGCAAGGAAGGAAAAGGGAAGGGAAAAGAGAAGAAGTTAATTACACGCTACAGTGGTTACCACAGAGGTCTTTTGGTCATGCCTCGTCAGCCAGACAAGTTGGCGCTTAAGGCCGCTCTTTGCAACTGCACTGCGTGTGGTAGCAAACCCCTCCGACTGACGCTCGCTCCCTTCATCTTTTCTGCTTGGGAGAGTGACATGCTGTTTAGTCTTGTTGTCATTGCCAAGCTTTTATGAAGCAGACAAGGAAACATCGGGCTGACGGTTCAAAGGCAGAACTTTGGAGCTGCACCTTACACGCTGAAGACCCTCAGCCATTCACTGGGCTTCAGCTCACAACCCGGATGACTCGCCAGTTCCTCCACCAGCAAAAATACCTAAGGTGGTGAAACAAAAACAAAAAAAAAGCAGAAAAGAAAGAAAAGCCACCAAAATTGCTCACCCTTGTTAAAGAGAAGGGGAGGGCTAAAAGCACCCAAACACTCTTGAGTCATCGGCACCTAGTGGCCTCCCATATTCTGGAGACGCGGTGCCTCCCCGAAGCCAGAAAAAACCAGGATAATCCCTAGAACCATTTCACCCTCCAAGAAGCACTTCAGTGTCCGAAGGAGAAATTCGGGAGTCACCGGTTCGGCTTCCTAAACCAGACCACCCATTGGTACAGAGACGAGCCTCTCCATCACCCTCGGTACCAAGCATATTTCTCCAGCCTGATCAACAGAGTGTTAGACAGTGTTCTTGATCACCCCTGGCTCAGACTCCTCATAAGAAACATCGATCTCCCCCAAGACGCCAAGGGGATTTCGATTCTGAATTCTACATGGAACGATGGGGATTTTTGCTGGCAGGAAAGATAATCAAATTCACAGATGATACAAAACTGGGCGGAATAGCAAACACCCTGGAAAACAGAATGAAGATCCAGGGTGATCTTGATAAAATTGAATGCTGGGCTGAAACCAATAGAATGAAATTCAGTAAGGACAAGTGCCTAGTCCTCCACCTAGGAAAAAGAAAGCAAAGGCATCGATACAGGATGGGGAATGTGTGGCTCAACAGAACCGAACAAGAAAAAGATCTTGGACAACAGGCTAAACATGATGCTTTCTTGAGCCAACTAGCATCCTGGACAACTTAACAGACTTAGAAAAATGATAAGCAAAGTGCCATGGCAACACACCCTTAAGGGGAAAGGTGTCTAAGAGGAAAGGGAAATCTTGAAAAAGAAGATTCTCCAAGCACAACTACAAACAATTCCATCAAGAAAAAAGTGTAGAAGACATGAGAAAGAGAAGGGTGTCCAGCTACTTAAAGTGGATGGCAGAGTGATAACAAATGACAAAGAAAAGGCAGAGACTCTCAGTTCGTCCTGTGCTTCAGTCTTCCCCCACAGGGAAATCTGCAATCAAGAGGAAGTTCTAGCTGGAAGTGAGAGATGGCAGCCCAAGATTGACTGACAAATGGTCAAGGAATTCCTAGGTGGAATAAACACTTTCAAATCTCCAGGGCCCAATGAACTCCATTCCAGAGTCATACAAGAGCGAACGGAGGAACTCTCAGAACCACTGGCAATTATCTTTGGTAAATCTTGGAAAACAGAAAAAGTGCCAGACGACTGGAGAAGGGCTAATGTTGTCCCTGCCTTCAAAAAGGGGAACAAAGATGAACCTCGGAACTATAGACCAGTTAGTCTGACGTCAAGCCCTGAAAAAATTCTGGAGCAAATTATTTAAAAATTTTCTGCAAGTATCTTGAAGAAAATGAAGTGATTAATAGAAGCCAGCATGGATTTTTCAAAAATAAATCCTGTCAGACTAATTTAACCTCATTCTTTGACTGGGTAACCTCCCAAATGCATAGAGGGAACACTGTGGATATAATCTACCTAGACTTTAGCAAAGCTTTCGACATAGTGCCCATGACATTCTGATAAGCAAATTAGCAAAAATGGACTAGAGAGAAAAATTATTAGGTGGGTCCAAAATTGGCTGCTAAATCAGACACAAAGAGTACTCATCAATGGCACCTTCTCAAATTGGATGGGGGTAATGAGTGGGGTGTTGCAGGATTGAGTTCTGGGCCCAGTGCTCTTCAACAGCTTTATTAATCATTTAAAGGAGAAAGTACAAGGAAAGATAATCAAATCTGCAGATGATACAGAATTGGGTGGAATAGCAAACACCCTAGAAGACAGAATGAAGATCCAGGGCGATCTTGATAAACTTGAACACTGGGCTGAAACCAACAGAATGAAATTCAATAAGGACAAGTGCCAAGTCCTCCACCTAGAGAAAAAACAAACAAACCAAAGACATTGATACAATATGGGGAATATTTGGCTCAACATAACTGAACAAGAAAAAGATCTTGGAGTAATTGTGGGCAATTAGCTAAACATGAGCCTACAATGCGATGCAGCCGCCAAAAATGCAGTCGCTATTTGGGATGCATTAACAGAAGTATAACTTCCAAATCATGAGAAGTAGTATTTCCTATATACTCCTCACTAGTCAAACCTCACCTGGAATACTTGATCAGTTCTGGGCACCAAGATTTAAGAAAGATGCAGGTAAATTAGAAAGGATCCACCAGAGGGGAACAAAATTGATCTAGGGTTTGGAAGGACTGCCCTATGACGAGAGACTGAGGGAACTGGGCATGTTCAGCCTTGAGAAG